TGTGAATGGGTAATTAAGATGCTATCTCAGGGCGTTGAAATTCTAGACGAAAAACGATTCCTTGTTGGCTTTCAGTGGGCTTTCATGACTTGGGGAAAAACGCCTTGTTGTGTTTCAGGAACTTACCGGAACAAAGTTGGCTTAAAGGCGCAGTTTCCCTAGAGGCTATTGCCAATTCCCGACAGCGTGCCATATTTTTCAATAAGCACAATTGACACCCACTCGAGAAAGGGAGTGGCGCTTTGCACTGGAGCCTGAGCCAAGGCTGACAGTAGACCGAGTCTGGGCTAATTTACGCCTTCAATTTGTACTGGCCGAGCACTTGTTATAATTGATGACCACTCTGGGACAGGCAGACACTGAGCCAAAAGCTCTCACCTGTATTAAAGTTATGAATATTCTTTCGCTTAAAGGTTAAAGGTCTTGGTTGACCTTTCATTTGTTTAAAATATTCCTTTGAGAACAAGAGTTTACTTTTAATCAGGATTAAGAAAAAATCCTTATCCTTAAACTCTGAAATAAAATATACATACATTTTTACTAGTTCCTTGTTTAACTAAAATGTAAATATCTTGATTGCATATTTAATTTTGAAATCTTTGTTAGACATCTTCATATTTTTTTCCCAGTGATGCCTTAAGGAAAAGAAAGTAGTCACAGTAGAGTAGGAAGAGCAGCCTCTTACCCGCTGGCTAGTAATTTACTTTTTCTTGCCAGGACGACTATGCTGGGTCCGCCTCCATCTTAGGTGACGCCTAAATGTAGGAGAACACTCCATATATCGTGTATGTATATGAGCAGCATATTTCAGGCATTTTTATGGGAAAAGAGTCGAAGCATAAATAACCGACCAGGAACCCGGAAAACGGAACAGGGACGATGAACGAGAAAGGAGCATTTGAATCCATGGCATGTGGCGTTGTTTACGAAAGAATATGGCTGACCGTGGGGGTGCGTCATCTATTTGGCGCCTTCGTCCCCTTGGATCTCTGCTTTTCAACTACATATTCATCATCATCATCTTTGCTGAAAAAACAGGCTACAAAAATGTTGATCGATTCTAGCTTGACTTTTATGCCCGCTGTGTGTTTGTCTTTTGGGGAGAAAACAGAAGGTTTAAATGACTATGAAGGTCATTTGAAATATTTTTAGAAAAATAAACAAAAATATAAATATTTTTTAAATCACGTTTACTCAGTTTTTAGTTAGTTTTAATTAATATTTATTTAAAAATTTTTAGCAAAAAACTGGTTAATAAAATAGAAAGAGCATTCAAAGTTGTTCAAACATTTCCTCAAGAAATGTTATATTTTGTTGTAACCTTGGTTGTTAATACTTTTTCGGTGGGTGACTAAATCATCAATCATTCGGGGGCAGCTTCTTCATCTCCTTGACATGCCCCCCAGCACCCGAATTTGTTTCTCGGCCCAACAGGGGCTTATCAAATTTGTTTCCGAGTCATTGAAGATTACCACGTTCTGGCCTTAAATCGAAGCCAGATGGAAGTGCATTTTGTGTCCCAATTACCAGTAGAACCGAAAAGCTGCTCCTTCACAGTTTGTAGTCCGTCTCAACGACTTTGGGACTTTGCAGCAATTTGCAAATGCCACGAAATGGCAGGGCTATTTCAAAATAGTTTTAAGTGCGCAAGAATGCCAAACGCTCGAGTGGCCGCAAAACAAAAATTGCGGAAAACTTTCAATTTGCTCAGCCAAGTATCGGAATCGTGGCAATCATCAGGCAACAGCAACAAAAGGGGAAAAATCATAAAACATAAACCGAGAACGAAGCCACTACCAAATGGAGCGGAAGGCAGGAAGGCGGTGGGGAAGAGCTCAAGAACTTTTCAATTTGGTGGCAAAATTTGCGCAATTTCCTTGGTGGTTGGCTTTTGAGTAGGAAAAAGGCTTACACGCCCACTTCCGCCCCACTTGAAAACCTGCAAGTGTCAGTGGGGAAATTATGGATAGCCCAAAGTTACTCAACTTCTTTTGTGGTTGGCCCTAATGATTTGGGTGTCTTTCCAGGAATTTAAATTAAATGTTTGCTTTATCGATGAGCCTGATTTTCCATACTGTGCAGAGTAATATTATTCCTTCTATTTCAAAACCACAATCTATTTTTTTTCCTCACCACAAACCACCAGAAAGTACTCTGAATGTTCATGAACACATTTTCAATTTATTGCTCTCTTAAATTCCCATTTAATGTTTATTTTTTTCGCCGTTAAGTTATATTATTTTTGCATCTGGCACAATCCACCTGGCAACATATTTTCGGTCTTTTTAAAAACGCTTTCCATTTGGATTTCATTTCAAATACCTGGCTGGGCTGTATTTGTTTGGCCAACGTCATTATTCGACTGATTGAGGTGCTAATGTATTTATAAAGCGGATCGCCTGTATTTTTAGTTTTGTAGGCAAATTGTATCGGGCTCAGCTGGATGCCTTTTTATCTGTTCATTTTCAGTGTCCGATTTATTAAGTGTGAAGCATTAATTTGATTTCGTATATAGCCGCAAATAAATTAGGTCAAAATATGCACGATTTAGGGGCAATGCTTTGAAGTCGTGTACTCTACGCAAATTCATCTGCGACTGAGTTGGAAAATGTACAGAACGCCTTTTGAAAACGCTGGGTGGAAAACTGTTTTCATAATTCAACTGACAACCGAGTATTCTCCATCAATATGGCAATAGGTTGCCTGTCTGTCTGCTCCATAGTAAGTGCTTTTTCAGCTCTCGCCTGACCTTAAACTTCAACTTGCAGCTTGAGGGCCGGGTGCCGAGTGTCGAGTGCAAGGAGGGGATTTGCATCAGTCAGTCTGCAATTTTCCATTAAAACTATCCAAGTTGCCGGGCAGATGGACATCGAAGATGGCATATGGCATCTGGCCAGGAACATCAGAATGCAGGAGGGCCAACCATAATTCCCCGCTCCAGATCCTGGTCTGCCTGCTAATGAAGTCCTTGGGAGCAATCAATATGCCACCTATGTTCGAGTACATGACCTTCAGCAAGTGCATCAAGTAAAAGCGAGAATGCATTGGAAGGCAGTGGAAAACTCTTGCCTCACTCGATGTCTTCCAGGATTGGTTTGCTCTTGTAATTGGCCATCTGCTCGTAGAGTCATTGTCCTTTGGGCAGTTTTTTTCCCAGTGGCTGTGCTAGTGCCAGTGCAATTTCCTCGCCTGTCAGCTAAAGATTTTCCGTTTCCTTCATTTGGGTTTTTGTGCAGCTTTCATTAGATGCTCTGGACTTTTTCATTAAATTTTCTTTTGCCATTTCTTGCATCTCTGTTTCTTGTCTCGATTTAAGTTTATTTTATATTGTTTTCTACTCAACGAAAAAAATGTTCGCACATTAGACGAAGCATGAAAAATGTTTTTTGTTTTCGTTTTCATGCTGACAATTTTCCTGTTGTTTGATTTCCTCCTCATGCCCCAATTGCTTATTTGTTTCGATTTGAGATGGAAACCTTTCGCCATCTCTTTATGTATTTGTATCTTTTACACACGACCTGGCAAGCAATATTGAAGTGGGTCGAGACATGATAAAATCAAAATAAACAATGGAGTTTCCCATGGCAATAAACAAACACTTACGTTTCATACATTTTTTAACGAAGCGAAAAAGATGCTTTCTGTTTTTTGAATTCATTTAAAATATTGTTTATTTTGTATCCATTTTGAAGCACTTAAATTCACTTACAAACAAACATTTACAGCAAACATTTCAATTTGTTTTGCTTTCAATCAAGTTACACTTAAAATTGAAAAATTTTACACATATCTCCGGTTTTGTTTTTCTCACAATTTCCTGTATTTCTTGGACAATTAATACCTATAAATATATAATAATTTATTACAAGTACCGATAAGCCTAGTATTAGTATCAAGAATTGTTTACTTTTCACAAACATTCGACAAAGTTGCTTTCCGCTATTGTTTACAATTTTCATGTCAATGATAAATTCTGATATTAGTTTGTGAATCCATTGTACAATCGTCAAGGATCTATTGTTATTGTAATTGTAATTGTAATTCCCGCCTGGCTGCTTAACTATTCCGCACTATTTAATATTTATGGCAACGATTTAAGTAAATTTATAATACTTGATTAGCATTCATTCGGGTCGTTTATTATCTGTAAATGCACAATTGAGTTAATGGCTGCAGATTTGTGCAAAAAACCGAATTCCTCAATGTAAATTAAATACACATACACGGTTAATTAAGCTTCAATTGGGATTATTGTTATGAATTGTTATGCAAATTATCCCATTTACCCTTTATATTTTACTTTTTTACAATCACATTGCGATTTAATTCGATTTTTAGAGTTTCGTTTACTTTGTGAATACTTTGTTCGTTTTATTTCCAATGGAATCATTTGCCTATTTGGAATTTTTCGGTCTCGGCTATGGTAATATCTCGTCATTAAGTTTTTGGCTCTTTTTCGGTAGTCTTTGATTAAACGATATTTCATTTGCTGCTCTTTAAAGTCTTTCGATGAACTTTAAGATTAAATCTTTGGCTTACTTTGCTACCAGCCCAAGGGCCCCCCATTTAACTTGTCTATTTTAAACTGCTCCACAACCAGCTACACCAACTTATCCTAAAACTGTGCAACTTTAAAAGATTCTCAAGCTTACCATCTAGCGGAGTATATAAATTGGAAAACGACCATTTAATTATGCACACTTGATGACATGAAAAACTTATCCGATGACTTAATTGATTATTTTATGAATGCGAAAACGGTATGATATTTTATTTTTTCTTAGCTTAGTTTTTTAATAAATTATTAGGCAACGAAAATATGAACAACAATTTATTATAAATAAATAAATACTAAATAAATATCTATTTAATGTTATTTATCTTTGGAAAATCCAAGACCTTTTGTTTAGTTCATCCAGATTTAAAAATAAATGTATATTATCTTTCTATTATATATTTATAAAAAATTAAACATATTAATACATTTTTAAGAGTCTCTATAACTTTGAATTAATTTTTATTTTGTATGTCTATTGGAACTAATTTTTAAATAAAAACTTGAATAATTTCTCTCTCTATCAAGTTGAGATTCAATTGTTATTCTGCTCCGTTTTCGCATTTTTTTTTTGTCGTAAAAAATATCATTTAGCAACAGACTACAGAAGACACTCGGGCTGCCTTAGTAGCTGTCGATCCAGTAGCATGTCCAGCTCCAGCTCCAGGTCCGCCCTGACTCATCTACGGGCTATGAACACCACCGTTTCCAGCGGCATCGCCGGAGCCCGCTCTTATAAGTCCGTGTGAAGGACCGGAGGCTTACAGTTGTTGGTCTCCGCATTGACCACCAGCAGGGCGACGGGATTAGCCGGATCCTGAAGCACTGCCGCCGGCTGGATGCAGGTCGCAGGGAGATCCGTTCCTGCGGTGGTGGTCGTCGTTGTCGTGGTTGTGGTGGTGGTCATCGGAGCATTATTGTTTCTCGCAGCCACCAGAGTCTTCTTTTTGGCCAAGGAGCCACGCTGGGCGCCACCCTTGGCACCACCACCGTTACCGCCACCTCCACCACCTATCAACCTCTCCGACTGCCGACCCTTGCCGAACTTGGGAAAGAAGCTGTTCTCCAACTGGAGCTGGGCATTGACGTCCTTGCGGGCCGCACAGGTGCAGGCCTTCATGAAGCTCTTCTTGAAGTTGTCGCTCAGGAAGGCGTACAGAATGGGGTTCATGGCCGAGTTGGAGTAGCTGAGGCAGCCGCAGGCCAGGAACACAGCCAGCTCCAGCCGAGAAGCGCCACACTGCTTGGGCGTGGAGCTGATCAGCGCCACCTGGGAGATCCAGTGGGGCAGCCAGCACATTATGTACACCGTGATAACGGTGAGAACCAACTTGGTGACCTTCCTGTGCGATCGCTTCTTCTCCTTGCTCTTGTGCTTGGGACCCACCGTGTGGAGTTTCCGGATCACCAGGCAGTAGAACACAAGAATGAAAGTCAGCGGAGTGGCAAAGCCCAAGACCAGGGAGTACAGTATGAAAGTAGAGTCCGAGTGCGAGTTCTGGGTGTCGGGCCACTCGATGTTGCAGGACACATTGCCGTTTTGCGATGCCACTGTACTGGCAAACAGGATAACCGGCAGCATCAGCAGCACAGAGGTCATCCAGGCAAAGGCTGATACCAGCTTGGAGACAAAAGGAGTTCGGTAGCGGGGCGAGGATATCGGATGGCACACGGCTATGTAGCGATCCGCGGACATGATCAGCAGAAAGATCGAGGAGGTAAACGAGGTGATCGAGGTGCTCACCATGTAGGCCTTGCACATGTAGTCTCCGAACGACCAGTTCCCCACCTGCATCGTGTACAGCAGGAAGGGTATTCCAATCAGGAAGCACTCGTCGGCAATGGCCAGGTTGAGGATGTATATGTTCGTGACTGTCTGCATCTTGGAGAAGCGCAGAACTACGTAGATGACCAGGGTGTTGCCGAAGAGGCCGATTATGCAGACCAGAGCGTACAGTATCATGGAGATGAGCTTCAGTATGAAGTTGTTGCTGTAGCCGCAGTCCACGGCATCCTCGTCGTCCTCGTAGTCCATATACTGCTGACTGCCGTTCCCTCGAACCGGAGGCTGCAATTGGTGTGGACTGCTGGTGGGCAGAATGGTACCATTCTGGTCCGAGGCAATGCCAGCCACTGAGGCGAATTCCACTGGCTCAAGCTGCAATTGTTGTTGCTGGTGTTGCAGTTGCTGCATGGGACTGCTGCTCCCATTTGGCGCCACTGTCAGCTGCTCTGTGGGCGTTATTAAGCTCGTTAGTGTCAGCGCTGTCAGCACAAATAACAGAATGCCAGAATGGACACTGTTCACGGTCGCCATGTTGCTGGTTTTGTAGTTGTTTCTGTTACTGTTGCTGCCATTGTTGTTGCTGTTGATATTGCTGCTGCTGCTGCTTCTGCTGTTGCTGTTGCTGCGGTTAGCAGCTGGCTCATTTGGGCTCGAATGTCCTTTCATGTTGACCATTCGGCCACCCAGTCCCAGTCCCAGATTTCTTTGTCCTACGGTTCCAGCTAATTTCCAATCGGTGGTCGGCGGCAGCCTATTTGACGATGATGCCTGACCCAGCTAAATGGCAAATATTTTGATATGCTTTCCATACCTCTCGCCCGTGACGTCACATGTTGTGGGATGTGGTCTGCAAAATTGCAAAAATGAAATGCGAGATTAGTTAGTGGAAAAAAAGCTTTCAGCAGCACTATTATTAGCCAAGGGTAGAGCACTGAAAGAAAGGTGTATGACTTGGTATACTTTACTCTTCCCTACTTATAGTTACTCACTTGTTACTTATACCTTAAGCCTTTCGTAAGAGGCTAAAAAACTGTATACTTTTGGAAAATGTACTTTTTTTTAACAGTGCACATTCAGTCCGAGGGCAGCTGGCTCTAACAAGCGCGCGTATTATTTACTGACAATATTGAGCGCATGCTATCAGCAACTATTCGCGCCCTTTGCAGGCTCCTTCTGCCTCCGCCACTGAGTCCTTCGAGCCGTACGCCCTCTCCGGCTGCAGGATCTGAACATCTTCCAGCAGACAATGCAATCAACTATATGAAATTCTGCTCGTTTGCTTGTTTGCCTTCTTCTCACACCATGGCGTGCGAAAAAAATGATTCTCTATCTGGCGGGTGAAAAATGAAAGGCAATGGCTAAAAGGAAAGCCGGCGGAAAAAAGGAAAACAATAACGGAATACATGACAACAGCAGCAACAACTACAAGCAATTAACTTTCCCATAACCTGAAAAACAATAAAAAAAAACCAGCATAATACTATATATATAAAAACTGAATTTATTGCATCTGCCAAGACCAGAAATATAATTAAATAGAAATTGAAACAAGATCTGGACATGATGGCACTTCTATGGAAAAAAATCAAATATTTATCAAAACTCAACATATTTTTATCAAGCCTTTTTATAAGAGAAACATATTGCCATTTAAACGTACTTTCCTTGACAAACTTTATATCATAATTAATAAACAATTTGTTTGTGGGTTTCTTAAGATCCCCAAGCTATTTCGGCTAACCTTGTCCATATAGACTCGCAAAGAGAAAACTTTGAGGCCCGAAGCCAAGCCGCAAAGCATATATGTATGTATACTTATATATATTGTGAGAAAACCCAGTGAAGGCCGAAAACTTCTCGGTCAGTAGCCAGGCGGAAACTTTAGCAGACAACGGCAAACAACGGGCCAATAAGAAGTGAAGCCAACTTTTCCGTTGGCGGAAAACCGACAAGAAAACAACAAGTCAAGGCCAAGTAAGAAAGAAAATAGCCTGTGGCGAGTATCCTCTGTCCAACCTCCCACTCCACCCACAACCGGCGAAAGCCAAGCCGAGACAGATAGAATTTCCTCTGATTAATTAATTGGCGTAATCCTAGTTAGATAAACTGCGTGAATTGCCACGGAATTTATGAGCGCGTTGCTTCCGCGGTGGAACTAAGTGAGTCAACAGCAGCTGTGTCTAACGACTTTTCGACCCGATCGGGTTGGGGGCCTTGTTCTGCCCTTGTCCTTTAACCCCTTAATTAGATTGAATGCAGCTGCTTTGATGCGGGTACATCATAATTGCTACACAGAGCAAAAACTATGATTCAATATCAGTAAATGGCGTTTGGTTTCCTCGTCGAGTATCTCTCAGTGTGTACTGGCTTGTCAGCTCTACACCTTGATTAGTCAGACAGATATCTCGATAATTACGCCTTGGTCAAAAGGAGAGGAGTGTGCCTGACTACCCACCCATGTCCTGTCGATATCCAAGTCCCGTTGGCTGTTCCCATCGTTCGTTTGTCAGTTAGCTTCTGGCTGGGATAAACATGGTTAGCAATCAATTTGCTAAACATGTTGCCATTGACGATGATGGCACCACCCACTTTTGCACCATATTCCTCCCGTTGCCAACTCCGCACACAAAGGCCATAAAACGCTTGACTACCGATTGATCTGACCAGTGGAGCGGAAGATATGTGTTTTTGGGCCATTCAACGGATCCGGGTCGAGGAGCGGAGTTTGGCAGCGAATGGAAGGATGCTTTATAGCCAAGTGACTGATGAAAATATAATTGCCTTCCTGAATTCTTTCATGGGTGTAATAACTCAAAGGTTTTGATTAGCCAAAGTGCAAGGTGCAACCATATGAGTTTTTTTTATTAAATTATCAGGAGACCTCCCCAATAAGTTCCAAAGCTTAATAATAAATAAATTGGAACAAAAGTTTGAAAACCTTAATTAGAAATTATGAATCTCAAAGTTTCAAGACGAACATTTTAATGAGTTTTTAAATACATACCCTGGTTTTCCTTCAAGATTCTTCAAAATTGTAGCATACCTAAGTGGGCACCGCAAATAGAAAATTAATCACCGGCACCGAAAACACAACCTCTTAACCTTTAAAAGTTCACCTTAAGTAAATCTGATTGCCAGGATCTAGTCAATTTGCATTCTTATTTAAATTTCATGCTGCTTAGCCAAACTTTCTAAATTCAAAGAAAACTGAATTGAAGAACCTAACGTAATTTTATGGAATTTCTTTTCGCGTGAAAAATACCTTTTGTTTTCGGCGCCTTTGTTCCACCTGAGCACGGCGAGTAAACTTTTGCCTGTTATCTTTCTTACTCATTGGCCAAAGTCATTGTCATGCATAGAGTTTCCCCTCCATAGACATCTCCACTCCGTTTCTATCTCTAGCTGCGTGTCTTGTTGCTATCTCTGTCTCTGCTCACCTTTGTTCTCTTTTTTGTGTGGCATAAATTTTCACCTGTTTGGCAAAGTGCATGGCTGAGTTCTAGTCCTCATCTTCAAGATATCCAGCATGTGGCATGGTTGATTTGTTTTCTAAGCCCCAACGTTTAGTTTTATAACTTTCGGAAAACAAAACCACCCGCACACCAACCCATCCAACCCCACAGCTATCCCCCACTTATAAATATTCACTTTTAGGTATAACTTTCTGATATGGAAGCAATTTGCTTAATTAAAAATTATATTCGATCTGTTGTGCAACACTTGAACCGAAAATAAACACAAAATCGGCTTATGTCAACCAAATTAATTGGTAAATGCAACCGAAAAACAAAAAAAATTGCATACACTTGCACACCCCGACACCCGATGCACTCTATTTATAGCCCCTTGTGGGTTGTTTGGAAATCTCAAATTCATTTTTCATTTGCATATGGATGAATTAGGTCGATTGGCTGGGTAATGGGTTCGATAAGCTTCTATCTAGATTGAATTTCACGGCTCGATGTGATTAAGAGCTGAAAGCTGAATGCAATCAAGAAGCGGATTTATAGTGGAAGTGATTTCATGAACACCAAAGCTAATTGGTAATCGGTTTTAATAGCTTTTAGCTAACTGAACGCTTAATTAGCGTTTATTTATATTCCCGGAATGAAGTAGAAATTAATCTGATTGGTCTGGGATATTTAAATGATAAATAAAGTGGAGTCTCTACGCAAAATGTAACATATTTTGATAATATATTCTATTACAGTTTCAATGAAAACACCTTGATTTCCCAATCTTTTCACCACGATAATTTCCAACCACATTGTTTCCTTTCACACATTTTGATCACATTGTTTCACCCTCTGGCTGGCGGGTAGATGATTTGCACCTAACTGGTGGTTGGCAAAATATGTTGCCATAATTTATGTATTTATACTCTCGCCCCGGAATCTACTAGATTCCGGCCAAAAACGTTCGTCCGCTCATGTTTTGGCCCGGAATGCAGTGTCGCCTGGTCATGATTTATAAATAATTAAATATTTATTTTCGCACATCGTCAATGACGCTTCGGTAATCATCGATGAGGTAAGGTCGTTTTCGGGCGACTTTTGGCGGCCAGGACAGGACGAGACGGGATGGGAAGTTTGCTTTTCCGGTTGCCATTCGGGGCACCGCCCACAACCTTTATGCTCATTAATATTAATAGGGCGATGTTAGCGAGCAGCAGCAGATGGCTCCCAGACCCCGATGCTCGTATTTCCCCCTAGATTCCCACCTCAACAGGTGTCGTGGCACACGTGTCGACGCTGTCCTTGCCCTTGTGGGCTCGTAATCAAGTCAAGTGCCATCGGCTCGGCCGGAGAAAGTTCAGTTTCAGTTTTAGCCGCGTTTAGGCCAGGAAACCTCGGCTAGAATCCAATTTCCATTATCCAATTTAACGCCGGCATGCGCGCATAAATAAGCCTCAGTGGATAGACCTGGACCGGCAGGAATACATAAAGAATCGCTGGGGTCCTGAGAGCACCCGAAGGTCCTGGGGATTATCCTGGAGGCTTATCCCACAACAGCCCCCAAAATCTTTGTTATGCAAATCTCAGCGCAAAATAAAAAAATACAAACTTAAATCAATCTTCTACTTAGTCAAGGAAAAATATATTTTTTTTGTTAGGTTACTTCGTTTCCTTAAATATCAACTTCATTCTTCCAAGGCTTGTCCTTAAATTTATAGTTTTTTAAGTGACCTTTTAGGTGTTTATAAATTAACTATAGTTTAGGCATCCATAATAGTAAAATTAATAAATATCCTTTGGGCAATTTCCGCGTCGTTTAGCCTTGTGTAACTTAGATGTATAATTCATTATTAGGAGACACTCTCGGCACTCTCCAGAGAGGGATATTGAAATTTTATAATTTATTATTTATATGTAAACAGAACTGTTAAACAAAGATGACAGCAACGAGTACAAAAGGAAACCGTTTACCAATTTCATGAATTTTTCAGCGAAACCAAAATAAAGCGACTGAAAACAAAGAAAATGCTAAAGAGCAATAAAAACGCCTACATGGAAGATACGCTTTGTTAGCTTTGTTTTTGGGGAGCATCAAGTCTCGTACCTGGGAACTTTCCCAAAAAAAAGCGAGGAGTCACAGGTGTGCGTGTGTGCTTGTGTGGGGATATGTGTAACTTTTGTATCAAAAACAAGGATAGAACGGCAAAAAAACCAACCAAAAATAAATAAAAACAAAATTTGTACTCTACGCTTAAAAGTCGATTTCAGGCTTGGGCCTATAAAAAATTTAAATTTTTTTCAGGATGCGTATCAGAGGTGAGC